ATGATGATCTGGAACGTTGTCTTGAGGCAACAGGCGCGGACGGTGTAATGAGCGCGGAGGGTAATCTGTCCGATCCGGCCATCTTCAGCAAACCTCCCCCCGTTGGTAGCGAGGGACGTGAGTATTGGAGGGGTAGAAACGGAAAGGGCGGATACCGTATCGACGCTATCTTCCGCCGTTACTTGGACATCATCTATCAATATGTCCTGGAAGTCCCAGTTCCAGAGCGGAAACCTCTCTATCTCCCTTCAGATCCCAAAGAGCCCGAGCAGGTGTCACTTATAGTGCCAGGGGAAGCGGAGGCTGAGGATGGCCCTCCGAAAAAGAAACAAAAACAGGACAAGGCGAAGAGACCGAATTCTCCCAGTCTCGGAGTGATGCAAGGACATCTTTTCCAGATCCTGCGCCCAATGGTCTCGAAGCACACGAATGTACGAGATGCGCTTGCAAGGTCCAGACCAGGCGATATAACAGCGTTCGAGCACACTCTGTTCCTCGTCGAACAAGCAGTCAAGGAAGGTCTCGACGAATATGAAGAATATCCAGAGCGTTTTGAAGTGGCTTCTAATGCAGATTTGAAAGGCTCCAAGGCAACAATCGCCGAATATGGCAGACCCTGGTGGGTTTGTCAACCTCACATTCGACCTTTGCCGGAGGAAGCCATGGAAAATGGAGCTTTGAGGCCGAAGAAGAAGGAACTCGCAGAGGAAGATAAGGAACCGTCGGAACCGAGAATGACATCGGACTCAAAAGTCGACCCAGTCGAAGCTGCAACCCCGGGCACAGCGGCACCGGATCGTCTGGTCAGTGGTTAGTCCAATGGCTTCTTAATCCTGGAGCCTCAATTCAGCACGTATATATTGGCCTTCATCCGCCATGACACATGTCGTGGTCGTGATATCACGGTAAATAGATTTGACGATTTTGCATAGCGTTTTGTGTCATTACCATCTCTCGAATAGACACTTTGTCGTTCAAGTCATGTCTAATCAATGCATCTCATACTCCGCGGACATAGTTGTTTCATGCTATCATAGTCATGCAACTGGTATCTCAACCATAGACCAAACGAAACTCCTTGAACTCCAATCCCAGGCCAAACAACCAATAAAAACGAAGCTAGAAGTCCAACGCAAGTTGCGGAGCCATCTTTTCAAGATCCTCGACCTATGTCACATGTCAGTAAATCAATTTTCCCGCAGGTCCAATGCAATTGAGAGCGGTATCATACCTCCAAAAACCCATCTCCAATCGATATCCCCCCAGGACGATCAGCCAGCCCCTCAGCCCTCTCATACGCCGCCCTAGCCAACGCTTCCCTTACAAAAACATCCACATACTTAGCCACAACCTCATTCGCATCCTTCGCAATCTTGGTCTTCTCGCTCTTGAAATGATGGTGTAATAACCTAGTGAGCAATTTCGGCGGGATAGCAGGCTCGCTCGACATCACATCATCCGCCTCATCATTATTTATGATCTCCGCTAAAATGTAATCTGGTTCTTCAGAAGGTGATCTATCGCGATCTTGACTGCCGGTGTCCGAGCCTTCAGATCCAGACTGTGGTTCGGAGCCTGAGTCTGAAGCTGCGGCGCTAGGTCGGGCGGGAGCTTTCCGACGAGAAGAGGAGGCTGCTGTAGACCCAGTGGCGGGCTTGCGCGTGCCTTTTGACGAGGACGCAGTTGCGTTGGCTGTGTTCTTGGCGGCTTTGGGGGGAGGTTTGGCTTTGGTTGATGTTGATGCTGAGGTCGATGGCCCCGCGGAGGTGATGGTGTCTCGCGGTCGTGGGGGGTTGAAGGGGAGGCGCCGGCGCTTTTGGGTGCCTTGTCGTTCCGGAGGCATTTTTATAGAATACTTGACCACTGGACAAGCGCTTTTCCACTGGTAGTATGCGTATGCTGCGTGTTCTAGTGCCTGGGTTCAGACACGGAGACGCCGAAGACACGAGTCGCGGCTGAACGCGAAGTCACGTGATTTATAGTATCTGTAGCCTTTCACTCTTTGCACCGTCTTGGATGCCGCCACTGGTGTTTATTTGTGGCTTTATATGCTCGAGGCATTTTAAAATCATTACTTGCAACCTATGAATACAAATGTTAGGTGATCGTAATACTTCGTTGTGGGAATTTGTAGGTAGTCTCAATCTCCATTAATCCTCCGTAGCATAAATATAGAACTACAGAGTATTCTGTACCACCCTTGCTTCATGATGCGATGCTGTCAGAGAGCACTCTTATTCCAAATACATAATACACTCAACTCACTCCACACAAAATCCCTATCAACAAGAAAGCCATCATCCCCCATGAGGCCGAACCACAGTAACCTCCAGCCCAGCATCTTCCAAAACCGTCCGCGAGCGTTCCCAAGGAACCCCAAATAAACCAGCGTTGAACCGGCAAGACCACAACTCCTCGACCGACTCTTCTTCAGAAGACTGACCCGCTTGTAGTTCCGCAAGCTGCCTTGTCATATCCGCCACAGCAAGCTCGGTATTCCTGACGATGACATCCGGTGGACTGACGGCCCGCCCAAAGCCGCGGGATGTGAATAAACAAATTATCCAGTGTTTCTTGCCGTTTGCCTCAGAGTCTCTCTTCTGAGGAGGGATGATCAATGCAGTGCCCTCTGGTAGTTGTACGCCTCGAGAGCTTCTTGCATGGGACTCTTCGCTCTGCACCGCAGGCTCAAACCTGTACCTTGGGCTGGACAGGAGATTCTGGCAATGAGAACGGTAGATCGCAAAGGCAGCTGGATACTATTTTGCAAGGTAAGTTACTTGAAGAGCTCAAGGAGAGATCCATTTCAGGGTGTTGGGTTACCTTGTCTTTGAATGCCTTCGCGATGCCCTTGCCCCAAGACCCTTGGCAATTGCAGGCATCTGTCTAGCAAATCAGTTACTGTGACGCACTGGGATCATGGTTCAAGGGCTTTGCTCACGGATTAGAGCTGCACCATCTGGAGCATGGAAAAGGTCGCCCTCAATCTCTGTTATTTTGCTTTGTACTGAAGGTAGATCCATTGTGGTTGAGACCCGAGAATACGATGCTTTTTGGAAGCGAATGGTGGAAGATGTAACTCGAGATCAGCGGCGTAGGGCGTAGGAGGCAAGTGAATATAAGCAGATATCGTCGACTATTCTTTTAACAATAAAAATTCGCACCATATTGCTTTTGCTTAAAAAGAAGTCAGAGAAGCCAAGTAATTAGTCACTAATGAAAGGTGCTGGAATACGAGCCTAACTGTGCCATTACACGTCTAGCAAGGAACAGCGTACAACGCAATGAAGGATTGCACTAGACCCCTAATGAAGTAGCTACATGTAGCTCAGACTTCCTCGTACCGCTTCACACTGCGTTCATTTAACATCGCTAGGAATACCCAATTTCCCAAGAAAAGTAAACAATATACGTCCTCACCATCATCAATCAAAGCCGCAGTAAAGAATGGACAGGTGGTATAGGCAGATTTTGATGAACGTCGCCTACAGATCCGAGGCCTGAACGGCGGGGAAAACAAAGTCTCGCATGCTCTTAGACTTTCTGACTGTGTTAGATTCCCCTTCACTGGAAGCATTCCTTCTTCCGGCATCGTGCCACTCTCGCCGACGCGGATCGAATCCAGGAGTCCAAGAGGAAGTAGTTGCCACAGACAAAGGTGCACTAGTGGTGCTGTTTGATTTCATCCTTCGCCTCATCGACCTTGAGATACTTCTGAGTATCCCTGCATCCTGGTCTTCGGCGTGGCCTTCTAGCCGGGCGATTTCACCCATCATAGTCACTCCATTTGTTGCAAAGTTCTCTTCAGATATTGGGATGTACAAGACAACACCCCTACTCGGCGCAACATGAAGCAGGTCCTGAAGTGCTGCTTGAATAAGTATCGTGTTTCGCAGGTTGGTAATTGGCGCAATGAGATATGGCAAGGCGAAGACTTTCATCAAATACGCGGGAAGTGCGGAGTTGCCAAAATAGAGACATGCGTCTTGCTGAATAGTGACCATCATGAAGGCCTCGGGCTTCTGATAGATTTGAGCCAAGCGGCTAGTCAGGTCAGAGGCAAGCTTGGAATCGTCGTAAGTGATCTAGAACAAGGGGGTTAGCGCAGATAACGACCATGAACCTATGATTGACTCACCCTCGAGTTCGTCTTGATTTCGATCACAACGACGGAATCATTGCTGATGCGAGTTCTTGGGGAAATAAGCGGGCCACGGTTGTTGAACAGGTCTTCGAAGTAGCGACTCTTTGTGTGAGGTGATTGCTCATCATCAACGCTCCTGTGCGCGACGTGGACTGATTGAGCATCCGAAGAAACGCCATGCTTCAAGTCAGGGGCAACAGTGTCATCTTCCTCTTTATCCTCGAAGAACATGGACGGCTTGATTGCGGCTCTTTCCAGTTTGTTCTTTTGTTTCAAAGTCTCTTCCGGGACCGTTTTGCTCGTCAACGCTTGGAACATTGCGGGGGATTGGAGCACCGGTACAGTTGGAGAAAGGCTAGTGGACGAAGTCGTCGAGTAGTTGTGACGCCTCCTCAGGAACGAGAGATCCATCCTAGCAAATAATTGTCAGATCCATTCTCAGAGTATCTGTTCGACTTGAAACTGACCTCATTGAGTTCCTTGTACGGACTCTCCACCCGCCTGAGCTTGAACTTGAGTCCATGGCTGATGATCGCTGGTAAGCTGAGGAAGAGAGAAGCAAAGAAATACTAACACACACAGAACATCCCCTTCCTTCCGGCTTCGGGTCGTCTGGCTTAACCTGGAGCATTGCTTCTGCGCACCTTCCTGCAATTGAGTGCGGGATAAGGAAAGCTCATTTACACTTCCACACGGCAGGAAGCAAACACCCAAGGACGACAGATGAAGGGAAAGAATTAAAGACTAAAAGATCCACCAGATATAGTACAATTCATAAGATGGTAAGGTATTGCCATGCAGAGTACTGATACACTGAAAGGAGCTGAACGCGTGCTTGCTTGGGCATTTTCTAACCCTAAGCCAGAAACCCCAGAAAATCGAAAGCAGAATTTCCACTCAGGAAGATCTTATCTGTCCTCCTTCTTTTGTCCCAGACGATTTCCGCGTCAGACTTGCGTTTAATATAGAGTATGCGATGCTGCGGAATGAACTCTTCGTCGGTCAGATCCTTCTTCCATGAGCTCAGGTTCGCCTCCAAACGTCCATTGAATCGGTCCTCGTATCCAATGGTGTAGTCGTTACTGTCAAATTTGGTGTCCCAAATGAGCCGGTTAATGACGTCTGTACCCAATCTTGTCAATCATTGATGGCGCAAAGTGGTATAGAACACAATACCTGCCGCTGGCCGTAGTCTGTTCTCCGCCGAAGTTGAACTTTTTGACGTGGACGAGGCATAATCATGCGATTCATCAGGCTCTGCGTGAGATATCGCAGTTGGCGATGAGCTTGAGGTATCTTCAGTCTGTGCAATGGTTGCTGAATTGTTGCCAGTTTTATGTTCCTGAGTTACTGCGGATAGATCAGACGCCATGGTCAACAACGAATATCTGTAAAAATTCCAATCCCAACGTGAATGTTGATCTGTCTTTTGACACGGTTCGAGTTCGGAGGGCACGCCCATCATACTTATACCCTGAATAGGGTGTCATGTTTTCACATTATAATCACCTTGAGAAGTCGACTATCAATCTACAGTTCGTGTAACCGCAACAAACAGCGACTTCGGTACTTCAGCTGGTCTCCTAATAATACTGCAATAGCTCTCGATTCTGGCATGTCTCGTCGCCTGATATGTGGGCTACCTGGTCTGAGGTCCAACTGATGCGAAAGCATTAATTGCTTTCAACCAATCCCAGCTTGGCTATTGCTTTGGATGAGTCAAAAAGTGTGGCGCGGCATCCTCAAACTCATGAGGGTGACTGCAATAGGGATGTGACTCATTATGAGTGATATGCTAAGACCCTGTTGGCAATCACGAACGAGCATGATGGTGAGCCGGAAGCTTTGATGCATTATCCCAAAGCAACGCTATGGGTCGATAGACACGTTTCGAGAGGGCAAAAAGCAAAAAGAGAACTGAGCTCCGATAGGGGGAATCGAACCCCCGGCTGCCGTGTGAGAGACGGCGATGTTAGCCACTACACCATATCGGACTTCATTGGTCCAAGTGAACTATTTTTGCATCATGAGGCAGTTTGATGAACCCCGCGACGGAGCCAACCAAGTGCTCTCTCGACTGCGATGCCAAGGTGAAAACAAAACACTACGGTTCCTTGAGAAACACCAAGCACTATTCTGGTCCTTGCATCGTCACCGCGAGTTTGTACGATAACAGATTTTGTATCGGAAGACGTCACCTTATTTTAAATCATAGCTCTGCAAAACAGACCAGCAAACGTCGAGTGCCGTCCCTCGCGTCTATATCGTCTCCTCCGCATTCGCGCTTTTCGCGGCAGATCAGGTCCCCCGTCTCCCGGTACTGTCGAATGATTTCGCCTGTGTCAGTATGAATGATGCGACAAACTCCTTGCTCACAGAGCATTTCAGCTATACACCCTTGGTTCGTTTTCGTCCACCGAGATCGTTTTGCGATTTGCAGTTGCGAACGCGAAATCTTGCCCTATCATGTGGCTAATTCTTCACAGTCTCTCATAGATGATATTATAAACTCGATCAACAATCTCATATACCAGGCTATTTCAAGCCTCGAGTCAGGCTTACTCGCCACTCCCCCCGAACGCTTGGGCTTTGCGCATGCAAATAATGCCTCTACGATACCCGATACGGATGAAGACGGCAACGTTGTTTACCCGGAAGCCAAACTGGAACTCGAAAATGGACTACACCAGCTAGAAACGCTCCTCGAGGCGACAGTGGACAAGGCATTCGATAAATTCGAGATTTACGTCCTGCGCAACATCTTCACGGTGCCCGACGACTTGTTGAACTACATCAGATTGAGCCATCATGAGGTATGAAATCGGTGTTCACGACTGCGTGCCTTGACATCCCTGCCCCGCTTGAGCATGTGCTGACTTTCAGCTCATGCAGAACCTTTTTCTTGATCCTTCCCCGAATACCCCTACTCCAGAAACGATCCATGCACTCCGCAAAAAGTTGAATGAGACCAAGAAATTGAACAGATCTTTGAAACGCGAGAGCGCTCAAAACGAAGCTGTAATCTCGCAGTTGCGATCCATATTGTCGACAGTACATGCACCCGATGTCGCAAAAGACACACATGGAGAGGGCAAGGCAGGAACACTTCTGCCAAAACAAGAAAAGGGCCTTGACCTTTCGTTCTTGACGTCCAGTCCTGCTGCCCAGCAACTACGCGTTGGTGTTGATACTGGCCCGAGTACCCAGTATACACCGCTTACAACGAATACGACTTTCATTCTGTCCCAACTTCCTGCACTGCAGGCGCTGTTGAAGCAGCTCCGGCCCAAGCTTGTTTCTCTACCGAGGTCCAGCGCTGTTATGGAGAGCGACGCCAAGTTCGATGAAAGGAGGGAGTACATCGAAAGTAGAATCAAGCTGCATCTTGAGCGGACCGGACAGCTGCCGGTTGGAGCTAACGGCAGCCCGACCATTGTCGGGCGGAAAATTGACATGGCGGAAGCACAAGCGCTCGAGTCTGTTACTGGTTTGCTTACGAAAGATGAAAAGGAAGACTGATTAAGCTGTTGTGGAGGAGAGTTGATGGTGAAATCGAATCAACCTCATCTACTATCGATTGTTACGCCATCCTACCGGCATGTCCTCCATAGATATCGGCTCTACGCGAATTTCTCCAACAGGCATGTGCCAGTCCCGATCCATACAGTCTGGGCCGCCCAGCAGAAGTGCTCCGCATCGCTTTCGGCAATGCTATGCTCAGTATCTCGGCGAAAGAGGCTTTCTTGAGCTTCGATTGAAACCTGAAGCCGGTGGTCTCGGTTTATAGCCGATGCTCGGCAGTGGATTAGCTTAAGGATGCACATCTGACGCAAAGGGAACGCCCAGAGGTTTGAAGTGCACGAAGTTTGGGTTGTTTCCCTCGAAAGGTCAGGTGCGTCGCACCGGCTAACGGTTGCATTGAATAAGCAAAAACATCTGACGGGGAGCCATTGTTATGACAATGAATTATCTGAATATCGAACTTCGCTTACAGAATATTGTAACACGGATGTCCTTAATGCTATTTCTGAGAGTCTAACAATATAGTATTTTAAACTTTATCTAGTCAGACCAAATAGTATTTTGATGCCTGGGTGCCTTGAGACTGGAGTAGACCGATATCCGCTAACCCAAAGCAGCGGTCATGTGAGCACAGGACTCCTTCTCGTAGCCCGCGGCTTGGCATCATCAACTCCCTCTGCAGCCACCACCGCGTTGGCCGATCCTCGTCAGTCCTACTCCGCTTTGTCGCAAGGTGTTTATTCGATGGACACCGGTATACTTGTGCTGTAGTGGCATAAGGCTCCGTGCAAGATCTTTGCATCGACTCTACTTTGCCCGTCGTTGTCCGGTGCCGCCCTCCGCTCCCCACATGTCTCGCGCATCGGCTATACCAACGTCTATTCTCGGACCCCGGCTTCCTTCTATCATCCTCGAATCGGTGTCCCGATAAGTCGCGCACACTCAACACTGACTGTACTCGCGTCGCGGCGTCTGATTGTCGACGACATGGCGACGGCAATCTCAAAACCTACCTCACATCCCCCTAAGATGAAGCGGCCGCCCCCGCCTTTCGTCCCAGGTGGTGTTAATGGGGTCAAGCCTCAGCAGTCATCCTCCTCTTCCTCCCCACCCTCCACATCGAAACGTCTGCCTGGTTCTAATCAGCCGACTTCCTCACCCGCCACTAATGGTCCGGTCACGAATGGCATCAATGGCTCGGCCAATTCGACCTCCACCTCTACCAATAATTCAAACAAGAGTCTCCTGAACCGGCCCAAGAAAGATGCGCAGAAGCCGGGGGATCAGGCGTTGCGAAGCCAGAAGCAACTGGGGAAGATGCCGACAGCGGAAAGGGATTCCAGGCTGGGGAAGATATGTCCTGAACCACATGGTGAGGCGCCATCAGCTCCTGCAGTGTTGGGGCTTACGGGTTGCTGTTTACTAACGATTGCGATGCCGACAGTTAAAACAACTTCCTACATCCTGAGAAAATACTCTAAATGCGCTCCTTCTCTAATCGTACACCTTCACCCTACTCATTTCCGGTTTGAACAACAAGATGGCAGTTTTCCCTACAACTCCGAGATGAAGGTAGTCATCGAGCATATCCGTGCCGGTACTGTTCCCCATGACATGATGGAGGAGTTACTACGAGCCAACGTTCGATTCTACGAAGGTCAGGATTCACCCCTATTGCATCATTGCGCAATTGTGGCCGCTAACGGGGGTTCTCTCATGCAGGTTGTCTCATAGTTAAAGTGGTGGATCACAAGTCAGTGTCGGCCCAAGCCAGAAAGTCGACTGCGCCATCAACGAATGGGAACAACACTCCTTTCTCGATACACAACTACAATGAACACATCACTCCATCGGCTTATGTGCCATATCCGGAGCAAAACCAGTTAACCTCCGAGGCCGCTGTTACGAAGACAGATGCGGCTGCCGGCAGCCAGTCAGACGAGAAGGGCAAAGAAGAGCAAAAAGGCGATTCGGACAGTTCTAACAAGGAGAATGAGTCGGATGCATTACAAAAGCAGACCCCGACGAAGCCACGCGTGTTCACGACCGTCCTTCACCCTACTCCTCGCTCATTACAGGCGGAACTTACGTTGCTTGCTACCACGCCTGATCCTCGTGCTGCGAAACAGTCCGCCACACACTCGAGCACCCGCCCGCAGCCCTCATCTTCTACAGCCCCACAGTCTCCAGTGGTGGCTTCAAATCCACCGGACCGAGGCCATGTTGCAAAGCGACAGAAGATGCTAGTGGAGCCGCAGGATCTATTGGAATGTGAATCTAAACTAACGCGAGCATTGGCACCGCCCCTTTTCTTGGATCCAGTGAACAGTCTGGAAGCAGCGCAAGATCTACTGAAATATTTGGAAAGTCCCCTTCATTGCGCCCCACCCCCGTCTCCGAAGAGAAGAAAGCGTACTGTGGCAGAGCTCGCTGCCGACGAAGCCCTCGCGGCGGAGGAGGAGCGGTTTATGCTCATCATGGACGAAAGATTGGAGCCGGCCACGTCAGGAGCTGCTGGTGGACCCAAATCCGCTGTTGATGACACCGGTGGTGGTGCGCCATTCGAACCGCGCTTCTCAAGGTTCAAAACACTGGAGAATATCCGCATGCAGCATGAGGAGAAGGCCAAGCGGGAACACGAGATCAAAGTTAAGCAAGAAATGGCCAAGCGACAGCAACAGGAACAAGAAAGAGAGAGGCGTCGGCTGCTGGAGCAGCGTCAAGCAGAGGAGCATGCCAAGGAGGAAGCTCGAAGGCAACATCTGGCCGCGCAACAGGCCCAGGCACAGCTTGCTGCACAGCAGCAGAACCGACATGTCATGACACAGGCAAACGCGGTCAGCCAGGCTC